AAAAACTGTGGTGACTGTATTAGCATCAATTAAAACTGACATTATAGATAAAAGAAGACATGTCAAAATGATAAGATTATTAAATAATCAAGAAGACATAGCAATGCTAACTGTGCAGACTATTCATTTCGAAATACATTAAGAAGGACTTCCACTTCCGGAAAGATGGAATATATGTACTTTTCAATATTTCTTTTGCTAAGTACAACCAAAATATCTGGTAATTATAGATACAACAAATGTAAGAAGACACTGCAAGGTGGAGAGAGGACAGCAAAAAGGCCAGAGGCCACAGTATCTGAGGAAAATCACTCATCATGCCAAAAGGCAGGATAATCTGAAATTGGATGAGAAAAGATAATTAACAGATGACAACACCAAGATGACACAAATGTTGGAATTAACTGGCAAGGATTTTAAAGCAGCCATCATAAAATTTCTTTAATGAGCAATTATGAACATGCTTGAACAAATAAAAAGAAAGTAGAAATAGCAAAGAAATAGAATGTCTGAAAAAAGAAATAACATATGCTAGGAAGAACCAAATAGAAATCTTAAAACTAAAAAAATTAATAATAACTGAAATAAAACACTTAACAGATTGATGGAACAAAGTAATGGGAGAGGACAGACTCTGAAGCTAAAACGGTAATTACGCAATCTAGACAACAAAAAGATTTAGACTAAAAACATAAAGAAATAAAATAAAATGAACAGAATCCCAGGAACTTGTGCAGCTACAACAAAATATTTAACAATCTTGTCATTGGAGTTCCAGAAGAGAGGAATGAGTAGGGCTGCAAAGTATTCAAATAAACAATGCCTGAAACTTTCCCAAAGTTGGTCCCAAAAAAGTATGTAAACCTAAAGATTCAAGAAGCTGAGAAAATCTCTCAAATTGGATAAATCCACAGAAATTCAGATCAAGATAGATCACTGTAAAACTTTTGAAAAGAAAGGGAAAAAATATTGAGGGCAGCCAAAGGAAGAAAAAAAGGAAAAATGGAGGAAGGAGAAGAAGGAAGGGAGGAAAAGAAGAGAAAAGAGGAAGGAAGGGAGTGAGACAAAAAGGAGGGAGGGATTGTCAGGAGAAGGAAGACAGCGGAGATGTCATCAGATGCCACACGGGTCAGAAGGAAATGGAACACATTTTTCAAGGGCTTAAAGAAAAGAATTGTCAACCCAAAGTTCTGTGTCAATTAAAAATATTCTTCAGGACCTGGCCCAGTGGCTCATGCCTGTAATCCCAGCACTTTGAGAGGCTGAGGTGGGTGAA